AATAACTGCCCAAAGGATGAAATATTTAGGAATAAATGTAACCAGAGAAACAAAGGACCGATACAAAGAAAACTACAAAGCACTATTACAAGAAACCAAAAGAGATTTACAAAAATGGAAGAATATTCCATGCTCCTGGATAAGAAGACTTAACATTGTGAAAATGTCAATACTGCCCAAAGTAATCTACACATATAATGCAATCCCAATCCAGATTCCAACGACATTCTTTAAAGAGATGGAAAAATCTTTATATGGAAAGGAAAGAGACCCAGGATAAGCAAAGCACTCCTTAAGAAAAAGAACAAACTTGGAAGTCTCTCACTCCCTGATTTCAAATTTTACTACATGGCTACAGTGGTCAAAACAGCCTGTTACTGGGATAATGAAAGATACACAGATCAATGGAACAGAATTGAGAATCCAGAAACAAACCCATCCAAATACAGCCAACTGATCTTTGACAAAGGGCTAAATAAAGTACATTGAATGAGGAAGAGACAGTCTCGTCAACAGATGGTGCTGGCAGAACTGGAACTCTGTATGCAAAAGATTACAAGCAAGACCTTAACCTCATGTCATATACAAAAATGAACTCAGCATGGATTAAAGACTTAAATGTAAATCCCAGAATTATAAAGGTCTTCAGTGAAAAAATAGGGACAAATTTAAGGGCCCTAATATAAGGCACATACAAAAATGGCAAGGAAGTCAAATAGATTTCAAATAAAACAGACTGTTTTAAGCAGGGAATAAATAAGTTATAGGGCAATATCAAAGAAAATTAATATACCTGCACATCAAATAAAAAAAGAGGGAAATCAGAATGATTTAGCAAACATTACCACAACAGAAGTGAAAAGAAAACCAACAAACACAATAAACTCAGCATAGAAAATTATGTGGAACAAAGAAACCAGCAGCATCCCAAATTCACACAGAAAAATGACAACAATCAATTCATACCTATTGATAACAACACTAAGTGTAAGTGGAGTCAATGTATCAGTCAAGAAACATAAAGAACAGAATGGATAAGAAAATAGGATTCTTCATTATGTTGTCTACAAGAGACATACCAAAAAGATGAAGACAGCCTAAATGCCCGTCAACAGAAGAATGGCTAAACAAACTTTGGTACACACACACAGTGGAATACTACAAACGTTGAAAAATAATGATGAATCTGAAACACAACATTGTTGAACCTGGAGGATATTATGCTGAGTAAAATTAGTCACAAAAAGACAAACATCGTATAAGACCAATGTTGTAAAAAGTTTTTTGTTTTGTTTTTTTAAAGTTTTTCTTGATAAAAGAAACAATCTATGAAGGTTATGGGGGTAGCAGCAAGGTAAAGGGGAAATTATTCATGGACTAGAGGGTTGTTGTTGTTGTCAGGTGCCATCGAGTCGGAACCGACTCATAGTGACCCCATGCACAGCAGAACGAAACAATGTCCGATCCTGGGCCAACCTCACTACCGCTGCCACACTTGACGCCATCAATAATGCCACCTGGCTGCTGATCCATCTTGTTGGGGGTCTTCCTCTTTTTCTCTGACCCTCCACCTTACCCAGCATGACATCCTTCTCCAGTGACTGTTCTCTCCGGACAATATGTCCAAAGTATGAGAGATGAAGCTTAGCCATCTTGGCCTCCAAGGAGCACCCTGGTTGCACTTCTTCCAAAACAGATCTATTGGTTCTTTTGGCAGTCCACGGCACTTTCTGTATTGTCAGGGACTGTCCTCGACATAGTTGTGTTGTTCACAAGTGTTTGGTTCACGAGGAGGGGAGATCCAGTGGCGATAGGGATAGCAAAAGAATACACAGACAGAAGGAGGGGGACAAAGAGGCACCCCAAAACCAGGGTGGATACATCACTGGTGGGCAGACTTGGGACTACAGGCATCATGGCCTCTGCAGGCAGCAACTCACTGCCCTGCAATCTTTACTTCATGCCCTCCAACTTGTAATGCACACCTGGGCCGGCCTGGGCCTCTGTTTTATTTAGGGGAGGAGCTTCACACCAAGCTGGGAGGGACTAAGACAAGGTACAGCTAACATCAGTAATTTTCCAGACATTCAGGTAACTTTACATCCTACGTCTCTGGTTCGAATCCCAGGCCCTCAACTTGTTTTCTCAGGCTCAATTAACATATCTATAGCCCCTGAGCTCAGTTGGGGGAAGGTGAGAGGTAAGGACAAAAGGCTTGGGCGGAGTCCCGCTGTTTCAGCTTCCTGAGCCAGGTTTTCAGGAACTTGGCTGAATAACTTGCACCTAGGACAGATTCAGGGAGGATGGCTTTTTTGTCTATAGAACAAAGAACTGTGAAGTAGCTAAACTATTTTCAGTTAATCCTTTGGAGAAAGGCTTGACCTTTGAAACCTTTACAGTCTTCCGCTTTAGGAAAATACTACATTTATCTGTGGACATTAAGGGCTCATGTTTGGAATTAATAAATATAACAACACTAAGATGAAAAACAATTTGCTATTAACTGCCAAGTGACTAGATCTGTTCCTCAGAGCCTGTGACCTGTAACACTAGGGCCTATAGGGCCTCGAACTTCTGACCAGGCTTACACGGTCTGCAACACAGTATTCTTCTCCAACACCACAACTCAAAGGCATTAATTCTTCTACGATCTTCCTTATTCACTGTCCAGCTTTCACATCCATATGAGGTTATTGAAAATACCATGACTTGGGTCAGGCGCACCTTAGTCCTCAAGCTGACATCTCTGCTCTTCAATACTTTAAAAAGTTCCTGTGCAGCAGATTTGCCCAATGCAATACTAAAGGGTAGACACGTGTTAACATGGCTTACAGGGCACAGGCATAGCCCCCAGAGTGGAGGTTGACAGAAAAAAGATGAAGGTAGGAAGGTAGTGGGAGACACAGGGAGGAATGCAATAGTTAAAGTGACTAGAGGTCAATGCTGATAACTGTTAATACTTGGAGAGGACTGTAATTGTGTAATGAAGCAAAATGTATGATTTGTTGAATGTAAAATTGATGATCTGTTCTGTAACCTTCATTCAATTTACAATAAAAAACAAAACAAAAACCTACAAAATAAAAGGTGTCTTGGTGGCGCAATGGTTGAGTGCTTAACTGCTAACCAAAAGGTTGGCCATTTGAACCCAACAGCTGCTCCACAGGAGAAAAAACCTGGTGATCTGCTCTTCTCAAATTGTTGTTGTTAAATGCTGTCGAGTCGATTGTGACCCATAGCTACCCTGTATAGGGTTTCCGAGGAGCAGCAAACCAACTTTGCAGTCCAGCGCATTAACCCACAGTCCCACACTAGGACTCCATTTTAAAGAAGGTTACATTCTAGAAAACCCTGCAAGCATCACTACAGAGTCACTATGAGTCAAAATTGACTCAATGGTACACACAACAATAACAACACTAGTATGGATCATGTTCAGTTTATCAGTGGATGAATTAATGAATAAATATTAATAAAGTGTTAGATTGTTATGTTGGGCCACAGTTGCAAAGAATTCACAAGTATACAGCACTCTACTTTGAATCTCTTTTCACTTTCCAAGGGAGGAAAGGGGCCTAATGCCAGAGGGTTGAGTTTTGGGGCTTTATTGGGGACAGGTGGAATGGAGGCAGACTTACATCATAGGTGATGACGCCCTCTGAGCTGGTATAACAGGCTCTTAGGAGATAGTTAAAGAGATTGTCCAGTGCTTAGCCTCTGGGAGGTCCTTTATGGCCGCTGGGCAGAGTTTAGGGAACTGCTCATCAGTGGGACCAGCTGTTCTTCATTCCTGAAAAACAAGCTCAGGGAAACAAGATAAAGAGTCATTTATCAGGGGGACCAGCGGTTCTCCATTCCTGCAAAACAAGTTCAGTTAAACACTGCGGCTGAGTCCTTTCAGTGCTGAAACATGCTGTAGATGGTTTGAAGGAGATTTTCTGTATTGAATTCTTCTACATAGATTCCTTTTTTCCCTGAGACTGACAGCAATGCCTACTTGTCCTTTTGTTTGGATTTTAAATGGAACTTAAAAAAAAACCATATTCCCAGTAAGTAATACACATACATACACAATTTCAGTTCCATCCTCCACTCAGACAGCTGGTGGAGTATAGCAAATGAGGTGTATAGTGGGTGAGGTATGTGGTGATATTCTCATGCTTAGATTTTGGGCACGTGTTTGTTCTGGCAAAGGCCAGGGCTGAGCCTGGAGCCGAGACTTTGCTACTAAAAGAGGTTTCTCTCGGGCAGAATCTCCTGCCTGGTCCTGTGCATGACCGTGTGATCCATGTGACTCCCTGTTCTCTCCAGGTGCTAGCCGAAGTCCTCACTGGCCTCCCTGCAATGGACAACAACCGGAGCCCCGTTTACCTGGTAAGGAAATCAACTACTTCTGACTGACTGGTGCATTTGACCTTGTAGCAACATGGACACAAAGGCAAAAACACTTATCTATTTACAAATGTTAATGAGGCTTCAGTTCTGATTTGATTTATTTAAATGAAGTAGCTTGAACTCTCTATCAGCCTATACTGTTGGGTTTTCATGATAATATAATTTGCAGTGTTCAGGGAAACTTTATTTCGTCTCTACTAAGTCATTCTTCCATTAGTTTGGTTTTCTTCTTTGGGAACTCCTTGGAAACCCTATACAGGTTCATTATGGGTCAGAAACGACATGACAGTACTTAACAGCAACAACAAAATAGTATCCCACACCACTGGGACCCCCTTTGTTGTTGTTGTTGTTAAGTGCCGTCAAGTTGGTTCCGACCCATAGCGATCCTGGGTAGGGTTTCTGAGGAGCAGCTGGTGAGCTTGAACCACCAACCTTGCAGTTCAAATGGCTTTGTAGTCTGGTACATTAACCCACAGCACCACACCAGGACTCCCTTGGGATGTGGTTAATCAAATGATACAGTCATATAAGCATAGAATACCATGAAGTCATTTTAAAATGAAGATAAAGTATATAATTTGGTCAGTTTCGCTCTGGTAGTGTAGTGGTTATGAATCGGGCTGCTAATCTTACGGTCAGCAGTTCGAAACTACCAGCTGTTCCACAGGAAAAAGATGAGGAATTCTGCTCCCGTAAAGATTTACAGCCTTGGGAACCCTGTATAGGGTCGCTATGAATTGGAACCAACTCCACGGCACATCACAACAACCACAACAACATACATCCGTGAATGAAGTCCTGGTGTGGAACTGTAAGACAAGCACCGGACTGCTAACCACAAGGTCGGCAGTTCAAACCCATCAGCTGCTCCTCAGAAACCCTATACAGGGTCGCTATGAGTTGGAACCGAATCACAGCACTGCCCCCAGAAGTTACCTCTCCCCCTGAGTAACACCCACCCCCACTACACTCTGCCCCGCATCGCTAGTCCCGGGCTGCCAGGGAGCTGCTTTCATTTCTTGTGGAATTCCATGGAAATGCTATGATCTGTGCTCTTCTGTTGTCTGCCTTTTCTCACTCAGCATTGTTATTCTGCGATTCATCCATGTTCAGTGATGATTCTCTATGTTGCTGAGTGGTCTTCAATTGTATGACTGTGCCACAGTTTGCTCATTCAACTGTGAATTTATTTACCCATGAGACAATTCTATGAGTTTTGACACATGTATAGCCATGTGGAACCTTTACGTCACTCTATAAATTCCCTTGGGTTCCTTCACTTCACTTCCAGGTTACTAGTCAGTCTGCTTACCTCAAGGTCAACAGTTCGAAACTACCGTCAGTTCCACAGAAGAAAGACGAGGCTTTCTGCTCCCATAAAGATATACAGCCTCAGAAACCCTGTGCAGGGTCACTATGAGTCAGAACTGACTCCACGGCACACCACCACCACTGCCACTAGCTGGTCTGTGTTAGAGTGTCATGTAAATAAAGTCATAGAGCAAGTACGCGCTTGTTTCTGGCTTCGTTTTCTTAGCAGGCTCCTTTGCTGATTTATCCATGTTGTTGTTGCATGTTATCATTGGTTTGCTCCTTGTTATTGCTCAGTCTTTCATTGTACAGATATAAAACAGTTTGTTTATCCATTTAGCAATTACTGGATATTTGAATTGTTTCTAGGTTTTACGAATTCTGAATAAAGCCACATTCTTGTAAAAAAAAATAATGAGAAAGACATATGAAATGTTCTGATAGAGAAGTATCTCCTAGTGAAAAACGCAAGTTGATTTTTTCTGGTGGTGGTGGTGGTGGTGGTG